GAAGAAGCAACAGGAGACATGCAGCATAGAAAAGTTGATCTTGGCAACAGGACTAGTGCTGGTGAGGCTAAAAGCCCAAGTTCAGCTCTCTTTTGGATGGTATCTTGTCTCTGGCTCATACATCTTTTCCTCTAACATATATCTATTAAAACAAACAAAAACAGAAATTTCAAAGTTGCTGTTTAGTTATAAATTTCCAGGAACTGAGGTCCCACCTTTCAGTGCATATGTAATTGTTCACAGTTGCAATGARGTACACTCAGTGTGCCTGAAGTGCTCAAGGGAAATTATGTTTAAGGTTAAGGAAGGGACTACCCTGTCTTACTGGTATTTATGTTATAGTATTGATTAAAATTATTTGGTATAAAATGTTGGTTGTACTAACCATGCTTTCACATACATTTATTTTAGAAATTTAAATTGCACTAAGTTTCTTTTCCATCCTAAAGACTGAAGACAACACTTCTAGTGAAAACAAGTGACTCTAAACATGGAATCAATTTACACAAGATAATTTTGTAAATTAATTCTTATATACCTTCAACAGATTTTACTTATGATACCTTTGTTTAACAATACAATTGGGAGAGACTTAATTTCTTCTAATGCCTTGTCAAGGATACTGCTCGCTACACTTGTAATTAAAACACTTTCATTAAACACACTTCATTTTAACTTGTGACCTATAATAAGACCTGAAAAATCAATTTGYAATTTTCAGAGTCCCTTGAAAGAGATTTCATTTTGTTCAATTAAATAACGTAAAACCTGGCTTTATTGTTCTTCATACTCAAAAAAGAAAAGATATAATTACATTTAACTCCTTACTAGATCAGACAGGCTGCACTTGTAAAACATATGGAAATCTTTCTCTCTAAACACAGTTTCACCCTGATTTAATCTCAACTTGCTGACAAGCTCTATGTGTCTTCTAGTATCTGCTTTTTATAGTTTTTGAAGGACCTGTCTTTTCCCAACGTCAGACCTGGGAACTTGCTGTGGAAACTACTTAGAATATCTGTTCTTCTCCCTTGTCAGGACATCTTCATTCCGTGACATGTGCTGAAGTGCCAAGTTCTCCAGCAGACTGCATCCAAGTGATTGCTCAAGCTTGCCACTACACAGGTTTAACTGTAGAATGCAATACTTCTTTGTAAGGACAACTGATTTCCTCTCTATTTGCACAAATCATAGAGCAAATAATACATCATAATCATAAAATGGATGATTATTCATAAATGCATATTTACTATAATCAGAGAATTTATAAAGCATTCGTTGGGTGCATGCTCTGGTATCTAAGAGCACTGCAACCTTTCTGTTTGTTAAAGCATTTAYAGTGTCTTTTATTCCTAGCCTTTAAAGAACTTAATACTATTAAGATCCATGACTCTTTTCAGATTATTTTAAAAGAATCCAAGGTTTAAGTTACCAGGGCATGAAGGAAAGGAGAAGAAGAGACAAATGCATAGACAAACCACRTTCACATAACCTCACATTCTTGAGAAAGAAGACTAAAAAATTGTTAAGAAATCAAAAGGTGAAAAATCTTATCCRTTTTGAACGTGGATGAATTATATCATGTTTCCTATATGTAACTTACGTAGTGATAAATGTAAATTTTGTAAGACTGTTAGCACACTGCTACGATTCAGTTCTRAGCACATTATTTTATCTTTTTATAAGCAATTAAAATCTCGAGCCCAATAACAGAGATCTAGTGAGATAATCATTAGACAAAATTTTTGGCTTAAAAGTAGTCTAAAGAAAACTTGGAACTCTGAGCAAATCAAATAGTCCCTGTTGGGAAAATAGGACTTTCTACTGTCCGCATGGCTACTGACAAAGCACATTGCATCACAAAAATGACTGGTTTAATAATTAATTTCTCTACTTGCAGAAAGAGCCTGCAGAAGTCCACATTGTGACTAACACTGTATATGCATGCATGCACTAACATATATATAAATATCACACATGTTTTAATTTTAGATGTCAGGTTCCTATTATGGAGAGGTGACAGAGCTGAACAAAGTTCGGTGAAGGCAAGGGATTTAGTGATCAGAATCCATGACATTTTACACTCTGTCATTTCCAGAGGCAATGGAGTGCTGACCACCGAGAAATGAAGGAGGTTCATGCAGCAAAAGGCACATCAGTTGGTGGGATAGATTTCATTCAGACCACTATTTCCATGTATACAGTAACATGATCTGCCGACATTTTGTGGGGTCAGATGTGTGACAACAATTCTTTCTGTCAGGGCTGCCAARTGAACTTCATGGCTTTCTTCGTGGCATGAAATCTCTTGAATATCAAATATATGATCTTGTGACATACCCTGCTGTATGTTACTTGAAAACTGCCCACATTTTTCTTGAAGAGTATTTATAAGAATTATTATAACAGTATTCATAAGAATTGCCAGTGTAACTTTGCTTTGTCTTTTGCAAAGATTTTTTGCATTATTTTTGTGGCAATAATTAGCATTTATTCTTTCTTGGAAAAAAAAAGAACAAGAAGCATTGGCTTTCCAATAACCTATTAATCCATCCCAATCTCCATGGAGAGGGCAGCTCAAAGCACCAGGTATATTTTAACTCTACTTACTTTAGAGAGAAAGATATAAAGAATAGCTTTTCCTTTTTTTTATTTTCCCTTTCCATGTTGAACTATAGAATGCTCTGAAGGGTCTCTCTGACAGGAGGAATAAGATACAGAATCTCAGTAACCCTGAGCTTTTCTTTATTTTTTTCTTCTTTAATCATTTCGCCTGGTATGACGACAAATTATACATGTACGGTTGAATCTTGAATATCTCCGAGGACTTCATAAATTCATTGAGAGTTTTATGTACAACCTGGTTCAGAAATTGGATGTGTGACATGTGTCATCTACTCTTCCACCAGAAATGAAAAAAAAAATTGTAAAGACAAAATTATTTCTGTACTAAACAAACAGTATTTTGCAGGTGCAGGTCTGGAATGATGTTGGCTTTGCATCTACAATGAACTATAATCTCAGAATCTAATTATGGAATGGAAACATTTTCTCAACTCCAGAAGACTAGACAAGGCTCCTTGTAGACGTTCTGTATTAGGAGACAGGGTAATTCTTGAGCTCTGACAGCCCCATTCCCCGAGCTAGATGAGCATACGGGTTCTGCCGCAACCCCGACCAGCCCATCCAAGAAAAATGAGGATGGGCACAGAACCAAGAATCCAGTTTACATCCAACACCAGGAATCTCTCACATGTCATTGTAGAATAGTACAATCCAGCTCCTACAATTTCATATCAGTGGTTTCCAACACCTCTACAACAGAAAGATGAGTTTCACTATGACTCGGACAGCTTCTCCTGGAAGATCTTTACACAGCCATAACTGAGGAAAGAGCTAAGTCAAAGTAGACCGTTGGCATCATATGAAATAGTTTAAGATTTTCAACTTTAATATAGTAGAAACAAATATGATATTGTAAGGAGATTTATTGAGCATTCTTTCAGCAAAATAGGTTTTTAATAAGAAAAAAAATYAATTTTTAGAAATGGAAATGTTTTGGGATAACAAATTTAGAAAGAATATAGGGAAAGTTCTCTTTTTCCACTTCCTTTCCCTTTTCCACGTTGGCTGCTGGGAAGACCAGTACTCACAGTCTGCCACAAATGCTACATTTATTCTACAAGACTTCTGGCATTGCAGTGTAAAAGATAGATCTCCAAATAAAGCTGCTGGCAGCTTTGAAGACCAGCTGCCCTCTCAAGATACCATATATGCTTCTAACCACTAGGCTAAACTGACAAACCCCGACACACAGGATGGAGTAGCTAAGATCCATAACCATTAAGGGCATACAGAGCAGTAGTCCTGGCATTTAGATTTTTCATAGTATCTACTAGCACAACTCCCATCTCCTCTGACGTGCAGCAGAGCTACACTATGCTGTATGTCTACAGCACTTGAAATCTCTACCTGTGACCTATAAATCTGGACTGTTTATCCACACTGCTTTGTTTAACAGGAGTCAAACCATGTTTATTCACAGACAGGTTTCATCTGCTCATCTTTTAAAAGTAAGGTYTCTAATGTAGAAGGAACATAAGCCACCTTATGGAAGACTGAAGTAAAGGCAATCTGCAACATGCAGATTTCTTCATTTTGGGGGTGGGTGGAAGGGCATTAGACAAAATCTTATAAGAGATTCCAGGGTCACAGTAGAAGTTTACTCTCTTTGAGGAACACTTTTTGGAGGCTGTTGATTGCAAATTAATGTGCAGTGAACACATGGATCAAGTGGAGAGAAAGTCAACTCACCTAGCTCATCAGCAAGAATTGACCAGTGAGAACTTCTGATGCATTGTAAGATTGCAAGCATCATCCCTCAGAAGTGGAGAAAGATCTAGAATAATACTGATAAAAAGCCGAATTTAGCGTTTTAAGTAGCGCCAAAGAACTTGTTTCACTGACCCTCATCAGCTGAATCTTTGCCAGAGAGGGAGGACAAAAATGGAATGCCTTGAACTTTGCCAATGAATGGGTTCAGTGACTTATTTCTCTGTAACTGTAAACCTGTTTACTGAATTTGCAAAAATGATTTTGGCTGGTTATAGACACATTGAAACTCATGTAGAAAACAGGAGGGGACAGAAAGAGAAATGGAGAGAAAGCATGTAAGAAAGGAGATCAAGCTGGTTTTTATTACTTCTTCACCTCCCTTTGAATGTTCCTATTACTAGTATGACCCCATGGTGAGCCAATTTGACTCACCAAGTCAGCAGAGAACTCACCCAACAAAATATCGAACTTTCTGCTGGCTGAGTGAGCTGAGCTGGCCACTGAATTGTCAGAAGATCACTAGAACTACAGCAAGGGAGGCARGGAAATTAGAGGACTTACACAAAGGAGGACAGGGAAATGGAATACTACCTTTTGGCATCACCAGTGTATTACATCAGCTCAGTCTGTTTCATTTAATTGCAATCTTACAGCAACATTGTGATAATATTGCAAATAAACCTGGCAGCAAATGAAGATTGAAGATTTCAGATCAGCAACACTAAAAACAAAACAAAACAAAAAAATTTTGGCTTTTGGTGAGAAGGTTCAGGGGAACAGAGGAGAAAAGAGCAATATGCAGCTGTCTTGCTTCAGGGACTCACTCAAGGGACAAGTCATCCACTCTGAACTTCTCTCTACCACTGGTCACCAAGTAGCTAAGTGTTGTTCTGTGGTATGATTACTATCACCACAGCTAGCTAGAAGGGGGTGTGCCATCTTATACTGCTTCTACAAGGTTTCCCATCAAATCCCTAAAGAACTGAACAGAAAACGAAACAGTGTGGAAAAGAGAGGAGGCTCTCTGCACAGGAAAAGCTGCAGTCAGGAACATCCCGGGGTTCCCACATAGGATCAGGTAGCTCCACCGTGCACCCTGCCTAGGGCAGGCTGCACGTCTGCATGCAGTACACATAGCCTGAGTCCCAATTTAATATAAACCTCCAGTTACTTGTTACCCTCTGGTGACATCTCGTGGATCAGAGTAAGATAACCTTGCCTCATCCCAGAGAGATGTAGGTATGAAATCAGGCTTATTAAAGTATGATATCTAACAAGCAACTAAGTCTGTGAAAAGCACTTTTCCCCAGCTAAAGAGAGACTTGATTCAGCAAAAACACTGAAGTTGACATAATGCAATTTACAGTTAAACTGACACCTGGTTGAGGAAAATTATCAATATATACAACAGCAGTTCATAGCATTAATTAGGCACAAGACAACTCACATGAACTAGCAATTCTCTCAGAAAAAAAAAAAAGAATGTAAAAGTCAAGAAATACAAGACATTTCAAACCCATGCCACATACAGTATGTTTCATGATATTTCATTAACTTCAACACAAAATATGAAATAGCTAATTACTTACAGAAGCTGCCATGGTAATGAGAGATATCTGAAAAACAAAACCGTATACAGCAGTAGATTAGCACACCCTCATCCCTTGGGATTACTTAAGAAAAATAAATTGCTCCACTGCACACCACAGAYTAATTCCTAAGAGGGGTTTGCTTTGTACGGCTTTAGAAAACACGACAAATCTTGGTGGTAAGTATCAGAAGGAAGATTATAGACATAGGTCATTAGGAATTGGCATATATTAGAGAAAATAAGAGACAGAAGTGGTGTAGTTTGTTTCAAATTTGCAGGTTATACTGATGCTTAACATTGTTSACAAAGTTACCGCTTGAACTGTTGAATTCTAGTTGCCATTGCTAGGCTAATATCAGTGAATATTGCCTCTGACCTTTGCAGTGGCTCAACAAGTTAGTTAACTCATGACTGAAATCAGTACATAGAGTTAGAAAAGTCCATGAGTAGACTGCAAATTGAGTGGAGCAGGGCAAGAAAGGCTTATGTAAAGGGACAGCTTAGGCTAATTATACTGTGAAAAAGTAGCCAACAAAACAAATCACAGAATCATARACTGGTTGATGTTGGAAGAGACCTCTGGAAACCACCTAGTGAAACTCCCAGGTCAAGCAGGGTCACCTACAGCACATAGTCCAGGACTATGTCCAGACAGCTCTGAATACCACCATGGATCAAGACTCCATAATCTCTTTGGGGAACCTGTTCCAGTGCTCTGGTAGCCTCATAGTGGAGAAGTCCAACCCCAGGCTGAGTGTCCAGCACTTCCCTCGCATCAGAGCTACAGTTCACTCAACAGCAAACTGAACTAATCTGGCCAAAGTATCTAGTAAAGAAAGAGGGTTGCTCRTAGATCACTATGTTCAATCAACTCACCTCACAGAGCTATGTGGCACAAACGGTAAGCAGGARCATCACTGAAGGGGAGGAAACCGTCCTCTGTGACACAGAGCACAACAGCAAGAGAAAGAAATATGGCCAGGCAGTTTCTGCTTAAACCTCACTGAGAAAAACACTAAGTTCTGTTTGTTATGCTCAGTCAGAGGATGAAAAGCCTGGAGTTGGCTTCCAGGTTGTCCAAGTAACCAATGGCTCTCCTAGCTTTGGACAAAAAAGCAGAGAAACAGAAAAACAGAGAAACTGTAAATTCCATCTGTGCATCTAGAATACTAATAAATATATTTATATGATTTAAAAAAATTAAAGCACACTCTAAATTTCCAGCTAGTTGCTGTTTATCTATTCTGGCTATTTGCCAGCCCTGGCTGGCACAGGAGCAGGGCAGGAACATGTTCCCCAGGCTGAGCTCTGTGAAACCATGGCTGCTTCTCACCTCATCTACGGRGGTCCTAACTCTCTCTTGGTGCGAGTCGTGACTAGGCTTGGCTGCCTTTGCCAGGAATGACTGCAAAGTCAAAGCAGGGAATCCAGACGGTCTGGATGCAACGCAGTGCACACTCTGCCTCGGAGAGGCGTCAGGTGTTGGATGAAATGTGTCCTGGCACCTGCAGTCCAAAACTATCTCCTCTCCAACACCGCTGGGCACCACTTCTGGCCGTGCAAGCAGACACGGAACGCACCACCACGGATTGCTGCCAGCCCCAYAAGGCTGTGGCTAGCCCTTGGCGCCACAGGGTTCCCGCCGAGGCCCTCACACCGGGCAGTGAGCGCCACTCAAGGAGACAACCCCTCCGAGAGCACAGCACGTTCCGGGCACCAGAGGCACCGGCCATGCCAGTCAGTCGGTGCTGCCGCTGCCAGGGCGTGAGTGAGCGCGGCGCTCGGTCCTGCTCCTGAGGGGCCGCGGGAGCAGGAGCAGCCCGCGGGCAGCGAGGCGCCCTGAGGGGGCGCGGGCGGCCGTTGCCTCAGCGGGAGGCGCAGCCGTTGCTCCCTGCCCCGCGAGGCGCGGCCGTTGGTCCTTCCCGCCCCGCGAGGCGCGGYCGTTGGTCCTTCCCGTCGCGCTGCCGCCTCGCGGTGGCGGAGCGCGGCAGAGGCGCCGAGGCGGCCGCGACGCCGGGCCATGGTGGCCGCGCTGTGCAGCGCGCTGGCGGCGCTGCTGCTCCTGCCGCTGCTCCTGCCGCTCCTGCTGCGCTGCGCCCGGCCCTACTTCTTGCAGGACTTGCGCTTCGCGCTCACCATGGTGCGGGTGGCGGGCAGGGCGCGCAGAGCCGGCGCGCGCCGTCCCGCGCGCACGCTGCTCGACG